CCTTTCTTTGATGTGTGCTAGTTTGACCTTTCAATTTGTTTTCTTTTCAGGCATAGAGGGACAGTCGTAGAAGTTTTTGAAGGCTCATCGGTTGTGTCTGTTGCTCTTGATGATGGGAAGTAGAAGAACTTGGAACTTGGAACTTGGAAAGCAAGGAATATGTTTTGTATCTCAGAAGCAAAAACATTGACTGCTATTAAAATTGGTTATTAGATGCAGCGTATGTTGCGACTTCTGATGCCAAGAGCATAAGCAACTGCTGATTCCCAGAGTAGCTCCTCTTTGGCGGACTCAAATGAAGTAACTGATCGTTGCAGGTCAAATTTCAAGGTTACTGCACCCTGCATCGTGTGTTTGCTGCAAGTTTGCTAACCTTTGCTTACCATGTACGGTGTTGGTTGGTTCTGTTTTGTAGGTACCTTTCGTTTCCCAGTGTACAGATTCTCTTTTCTGGTCAGAGGTAGAACACAGTTTTTGGGCCTTTTGGTGGTACTTTAGATTAATGTTGCTGGGTTTGCAGTTTTAATGTAAAACTTCTAGAGATCAGAAAGCTCTGCTCCTACTGGTGGTAAGTTGTAACTCAGGGTAGATGACATTATTATACTTATTTTTTAATTATAGAATAGCCAGTTGACCACTGTTTAATAAGAACTAGGTAAACTATCCGTGCTTCGCACGGGATTGAACTATTTTTTTAAGCTTACATATGATCATTCGGTAATATTCATATTTTCGATATATACACTACATTGTCAAGAACATTTTATCTTAAGGCAAAGTGTTCCTCTGAAATCTTAAAGTGCTATATTTTTTAATTTTTGTTTTTTGTTATACAAAAATTATGAGTCATAGAGAGATTTTAAGTATAAGAAAGAAGTCTAAGAAAATCCCTATAGAAATAGTTGGTCAGAAGTAATGAAATTTGCTAAATTCGAAAAAGTTATAAAGAACAACATCAGACGTTAAAGTAGAGACCAAAAAGCCTCGAACAACAACATTCCCAAGTGAAGTTGAACATCACGTCTATACAAGAACATAATTAACTAAACTCAAATGGAAGACCTTTAGCTCCCTTCTTATATGTTAAAAATGACCCTAAAATTGTTAGTATCATAAATGTTTTTCGTCATTGTCTTAGAATAGTCATTACTATTGCTTAGGTTTCATATCACTGGTCCCAACTTATTTTGAATTGAACCATAGTTATTGTTATGGTGATAGTATGCAGTTACAAAGAATTAATGCAATTATCAACCAAACAGTATGTGACATCTGAATGGAATTGTTCACAACTGGATATTCTAAATCAAAATTTTGAAACATAACATATTAAAATCTCACAGCATAATTTTGTTAGCACTTGAACTCACAAATATCCACAAATAATAATAAAGACAACCTTACTTTCCTAGCAATCAAGAAGAAAAAGGTATGTTGCTTAACATATTTTTCAAAAAGATAGTCTATCGGGCTATATCCAAGTTTACCGTTCACAAATTTAATTGAAATAATCCAAAAGAAAGAGTTGTTACTTCTTTATCAAAAAAACAAAATAACTTTATCAAAAGAAAGAGTTATCACTACAGTAAAAATGATCTTTAACGGCAATTAATAGCTTAATTGTCGCTAAATATTTATTTTCAGAGGCAATTGGTACTCTCTATAAATATCCCTAAAGTTTATAGCAACATTGAATCTAATGACAATTAACTAATGTCCGTAAAGGCTCTAACACTCTTCGTCAATGTGCATATTTATGCCGATAAAAAATATTTTTGTTAGAGTGTATTTTGGACATTTGTTTGTTTCAAGAAAACTTGATCTCTTATTATGCCCAAAAAGAAGAGACGAAGAAATATGACAAATTCCTAACTTGCGACAAAAGAAGTGGACTAATTGTGTCTATACTAATATTATAGGAAGAGTGCAATGACATACGAATTGTTTGTACCTAATAAAAAAACAAAAATAATATACTAACTGTGGCAAGAAAGAGAGCAATTTGTTTGGTTCTTTTAACAAACTTCATCATTGGTTCCATATTAGTATCACATATTTGTTGTTTGTGCTATCAAATATAGCACAACCCACAATCAATTTTTCCAAAAAGTATATGAAAAAACCTGTAGAAAGGGACAAAAGAGAAGATAAATTTTCAATTATCCTCACTGAAATTTTTAACAGAGTTCAAAAAAAGTCACCAAAATAACAAATAGAAATTACAATAGATACATGAATCACTATGACTTACTGTAATGACCCGAAAGGTCATTTTGGTAATTTTTCGTGGAAATGACTATTTTGCCCTTTCGGTAGTTGCCCCGAGTCCCATGTTTTGTGGTTGTAAAGTTGGTTTGAGGAAAAGTTGGTAAAAAGTTGAGTTTTTGAGAAGTTGAGTTTTTATGAGTTAAAGTTGGTTAAAAAGTGCTTTTTCGAGTCATTTGGAGTTTCGGGACTCGGATCGGATTTCCGTCGATTCCGACAGTTTTAGAATGTCGAAACGGGTCTGTGTGAAGTTACGGAGTCGAATTTGGAGTTGAAACGAAGAATTGAGGTCCTAAGTTGCTAAAGTTGTGAAATTTTGATAAAGAGTTGACTTTGGTCAACATATGAGGTTCCGAGGCTCAGATTGAAATTCCAAGAGTACCGTTGGTTTCGGGAGGCGATTCTAAGTCTAGAATGAGTCTTGGTTGAATTTTTAGACGCTCCGTTTGAGTTTCGAATTTTTTTGGCGTTAAACTAGTTTCTTAGCATCTTATTAAATTTCGAGTCAAGGAGTTCTCGAATTCAAATTCCGACGGTTCCATTGAGTCCGGAACGTCGAATTTAGTGGGGGTACATATTTAGTTTGTGTGCACGAGATTCCGAACGAATCCCGAGGGTCCAACGGGGACTTAAACTTTGGTTTTAAAATTGTGTGCAGCTGCTGTGTATTTTAGCTGCAACAGCAGTTTCTTCCCCTTTTTTTAAAAGCCAAAAACAGTAGTCATTTTCCCCCAACTTGAAAAATACCCATTTCTCCATTTTTAGACTTTGAGAGCTCAAAAATAGGTGATTTCAAGTGGGTTTTCGCAAGGAATTCATTAGGTAAGTTATTTCCAACTTATATCTTTGATTTCCATCGATTATTTATGGATTTTAACATCAAAATTTGAGATCTCAACTCAAAAATTTGGGGGTTTTTGCCTAATCCGAATTTAATAGAAAATTTGAGTTTGTGAACTCATTTCAACTCCTTTTTCGAAACGGTTTTCACTATTGGATTCTAAATTTCTTGGGGAACATTTTTCACTAAAAATTTCCAGATTTCGAGAATATTTTTCAGAACGAGATTTTTTTGACCATTTTACCCTTTTCTCCAAATTTCACAATATTGGTGTTGTTAGATTCGTATTGATTGTGAGATTCCATTTATGAATAGATTGTGGTGATTTGGAGCGTGCTCGGAAGGGTAAAACTCAAATTTGAGTTACTAGTTGAAGTGTTTTGAGGCATGTGGCTTCTAAACTTTGTTAAACTCTTAGACTACACATGACTACTTTCCTAATTGTGTTGGGGAGTAATGGGGATTGAGGATGAGTTTTATTTGTTGATTGAAATTGTTGTAATTGAAAGATGGGGAATAAAACGAGCTAAATGTGTTATATGTGACTTGAATTTGTTGAATAAGTCATGTGATAACTGATATTGAGGGGATAGAAGAGCATGAGTAGGCTATGATTGATACAGACGATGTGTAATACTATGATGTGGTTGTGATTGAGACAGATGATGTGTAATACTATGATGTGATCGTGATATGGTTGTGATTGAGACAGATAATGTGTAATACTATGATGTGATCGTGATATGATTGTGATTGATGACATGTGCATATTCATTATTCATCCCAAGTATGAACTATCTGTTGCATGAGTTCTGAGACACTGATATGAGGACGGATGGATATGAGACACAGTCGAGACTAGCTCCGGCTAGCGATTTGGATGCCGATGGGATCTGGTTCCGGCGGTGATACATGGTCCATGTGTGGCCCCCATGGGTTCTGATTTGAGTATTCAGCGCGGTCTGATTACGTCAACAGATGTGTATCTTAGGACAGACATGCATCACGACTACATGACATCATTATTGCATTTGCATCGCATTTGACTTCATCTTTGTCTGTGGTGTGTGGATTTTTCCTATTTGCCCCTCTTCATGTGATATATGATCTATTTGCTCTTACATGAGGATATGAGATTGATGTTGAGACACTGTTAGATATATCTGTTGATTATGAATTGTGTAGTATAGGTTGTTGGTTCGCTGTTAGAATGAAGTTTCGGTGGTTCGGTTGGGATTGAAAGGAGTTGTTTGTAGCTGCTAGTTTAGCTTAGCTTAGTGTTACTTGCGAGTACCTGTTGCTTTTGGTACTCACCCTTGCCTCTACACAATTGTGTAGGTTGACAGCTCTATCAGATCCGACTTATTACTCATCTTCAGATTAGAGCTTCCAGACTTACTTGAGAGGTAGCGGTTCATTCCAGACGTGCCCTCAAGTTATCTATATTTATTGTTCTGTTCTATTCTAGAACTTTACTATGAGACTTGTATATTTTATTCAGATTCTGTATTAGAGGTTTGTACATGTGACAACCAATTCTGGGGTTATGTTGAGTTTATTTAAAGACTTCCGCTTATCTTTCTATCTTATTCTTGTTTTATAAAATCTATATCGTCGGGTTTTTGGGTGTTAGGCTGACGTGTCCGGTGGGGTTTGGGCACGTGCCATCACATCTGGTTTTGGGGTGTGACAAAAATGGTATCAAAGCCCAGGTTCGAAGGTCTCACATGTACAAACCAAGTCTTAGTAGTGTCTTGAGGATCGGTACGGAGACGTCTGTACTTATCTTCGAGAGGCTATGAAGACTGTTAGGAAAGACTTCTTTTTTTTATTCCGTTCTTATCGTGCGAGGTTGTTATCGTGGGTGCTGAGTATCGCGTGTTGTTTTTGGCAGATGCCGAGGGTTAGAGCTACCAGAGTTAGGGGGGAGGCAGCCCCCGAGGTCAGAGTTGAGGCCCCAGCTAGGGGTAGAGGTCGGGCTAGAGGCCGAGGACGTGGTCGAGGCCGTGCCAGAGGAGCGGCACCTGCCCGAGGCCGAGGTAGAGAGCCTTCACCTGAGCCACAGATTGGAGTAGCTGCAGAGCAGGCTCCTGCGGGCCATGCACCCCCAGTTCATGATGATAGACTCGACAGGATGTTGGGGTTATTGGAGCGTCTTGCTCAGGGTGCAGCAGGTATACCAGCGGGGTTACAGACTGGGGTAGGGGCACAGGCCCCTGGTTATCAGCATCAGATTCCAGTGGTTCCAGAGCCAGTGGTTCAGCCACCACGGATTCCAGTCATTCCCGAGCCGGTGGTTCAGCCACCACAGGTTCCAACTCCAGTTGTAGGTGTACCGGCGGCCCTTGAGGTGGCCTTGGCAGATGATGACCAGGTCTGCTATGAGCGGTTTCAGAAAATGAAACCACCTCAGTTTCATGGTGCTAAGACTGATGATGCTCACGAGTTTTTGACCTTGAGTCGAGAGATGTTGGCGGCGGTACGCATGTTAGATGAGAGGGGTGTCCGATTTGTGTCCCTTCAGTTACGCGGTGTCGCTAGGGAGTGGCTGAGGACCTTCATGAGTTCGAGACCAGCGGGATCTCCTCCCATGGAGTGGAGTGAGTTTGCTAGTGCTTTCGAGGGTCGTTTCATCCCTTGGAGTGTACAGGAGGAGAGCCGTATGAGGTTTGAGAGTTTGGTGCAGGGTAGCATGTCAGTTGCAGATTACGAGGCTCGATTCTGTCAGTTGTCGAGACATGCTTCTGCTTTGATTTCAGGTGAGCCTGAGCGGATTCGCAGATTTGTCAGGGGTTTGACTCCCACTATCCGTAGTTATGTGTTTAGATCATCTCGTGAGGGTGCTTCCTTCCAGACTATAGTGAGTGCAGCCAGAGAGGCTGAGTTGCTTGAGCGAGATGATTTTGGTGGGCCCAAGAGGGTCCGTACAGGTGGTCAGTATTCGGGTACCTCGTCAGGAGGTAGGGGTCCACACAGGGGAGGCGGGTCCTTCCTGCGTCAGAGGCCAGTACATGCTTCATTACCAGCTATCGAGGGTGGGCCAGCAGCTCGGGGTCCTCCAGGTTCAGGTCGAGGTGGTTATAGCATTATTTCGGGTTCTTCACAGTCAGGATCCACACCGAGGTCTTGTTATGGTTGCGGTGATCCAGGCCATTTGATTCGTCAGTGTCTACATCAGACTCAGTCTGGACCACACCGTACTTTCTCCGCGGTCCCAGAGAGAGATTCAGCACCTCCGGCTAGAGGTCGGGGTCGGGGACCGGCATCTGGTAGAGGCGGACGAGCTTCGGGTAGAGGTGCTAGTGGCGCCTCAGGTTCACAGAGTGGGGGCAGAGGTGCCCAGTGTTATGCTTTTCCTGGGAGGCCCGAGGCTGAGGCTTCTGATGCAGTTATCACAGGTATCGTCTCAGTTTGTCATCGGCCTGCTTCCGTGTTATTTGATCATGGTTCTACATTCTCATATGTGTCTACATATTTTGCTTCCGGCCTTGAGTTGACTTGTGATCGTATGTCTGTGCCTATTAGAGTCTCTACACCCGTAGGTGAACCCTTAGTGGTGAATCGAGTGTATCGATCTTGTCTTGTTATCTTATCGGGGTATGAGACTTGGGTAGATATGATTCTTCTTGATATGTTAGACTTTGATGTCATATTGGGTATGGACTGGCTTTCCCCCTATCATGCGCTTCTTGATTGTTATGCTAAGACTGTCACCTTAGCTATTCCGGGTATTCCTAGAGTGGAGTGGAGAGGGACTAGTGGTTCGTATCCCAACAGGGTCATATCTCATATTCGGGCTCAGAGGATGATTGACCGGGGTTGTTTATCTTATTTGGCCTTTATTCGGGATGTTGGAGCTGAGTCACCGGCCATGGAGTCTATTCCGGTGGTTCAGGAGTTCCCTGATGTGTTTCCCGAGGATCTACCTGGTGTTCCTCCTGTTCGTGATATTGACTTCTCTATCGACTTGGAGCCGGGCACTAAGCCCATATCTATCCCACCTTATCGTATGGCTCCAGCTGAGTTGAAGGAGTTGAAGGATCAGATTCAGGACTTATTGAGTAAAGGATTCATACGCCCTAGTGTGTCGCCTTGGGGTGCACCGGTCTTATTTGTGAAGAAGAAAGATGGGTCGATGAGGATGTGTATTGACTATAGACAGTTGAACAAGGTAACGGTAAAGAACAAGTATCCCCTTCCCCGTATTGATGACTTGTTTGATCAGCTTCAGGGGGCAGCCTTGTTCTCTAAGATCGACTTGAGATCTGGGTATCATCAGTTGAGGATTAAGCCTTCAGATGTGGCGAAGACAGCTTTTCGCACACGATATGGTCATTATGAGTTTTTGGTGATGTCATTTGGGCTCACCAATGCCCCTGCGACGTTCATGGAGTTGATGAATGGAGTGTTTCGCCCATACTTGGATTCTTTCGTAATTGTGTTTATTGATGACATCTTGGTATATTCCAAGACCGAGGCGGATCATGTTTGTCATTTGAGGGCCGTGCTACAGAAGTTGAGAGATGAGAAATTGTATGCTAAATTGTCTAAGTGTGAGTTTTGGCTTGAGTCAGTGGCTTTCCTAGGGCACGTGGTGTCTAAGGATGGAGTTAGGGTTGATCCGGCCAAGATTGAGGCGGTTCAGGGTTGGACTAGACCTACATCACCTACCGAGATTCGGAGTTTTGTTGGCTTGGCGGGTTACTATCGGCGTTTTGTTCAGGGATTCTCTACTATAGCTGCACCGTTGACCCGATTGACTCAGCAGACGGTTCCTTTTCATTGGTCACCCGAGTGTGAGGCGAGCTTTCAAAGGCTCAAATCCCTATTGACTTCAGCACCTGTCTTGACTTTGCCAGAGGAGGGTGTTGGATTTACTGTTTATTGTGACGCTTCGGGTGTTGGACTTGGAGGTGTTTTGATGCAGAAGGGTAAGGTTGTAGCATATGCCTCTAGACAGCTGAAGGCACACGAGAGGAATTACCCAACTCATGATTTGGAGTTGGCGGCTGTGGTATTTGTGCTTAAGTTGTGGAGACATTACCTATATGGTGTTCATTGCGAGGTATTTACTGATCATAGGAGCCTACAGTACATATTCACTCAGCGGGATCTGAACTTGAGACAGCGTAGGTGGCTTGAGTTGCTCAAGGACTACGACATGACCATTTTGTATCACCCCGGGAAGGCCAATGTGGTGGCCGATGCCTTGAGTAGGAAGACTCCTAGTATGGGGAGTCTTGCCGCGATCAGTGTTGAGAGGCGGCCTTTGGTTCGGGATGTTCAGAGGTTATTTGACAGTATGGTGAGATTTCGGGTTTCTGAGGAGAGTGGAGGTGTGTTTGCCTTCATTGAAGCCCGTTCATCTTTGATGGAGCAGATTAGAGAGCATCAGTATGAGGATGGGAAGTTATGTCTCATCCGGGACAAGGTGATGAGTGGTGAAGCCAAGAAGGCTAAGATTGACTCCAAGGGTGTATTGAGGATTGAGGGCCGGATATGTGTGCCCAAGGTTGGTGATTTGATCAGATTTATTCTTGAGGAGGCTCATTATTCTAGGTATTCTATTCATCCCGGAGCGGCGAAGATGTATCATGATCTTAGTCAACACTATTGGTGGTGTGGGATGAAGAGGGATATTGCAGAGTTTGTGGCTAGGTGCTTGACATGTCAGCAGGTCAAGTGTGAGCACCAGAAGCCTGGTGGTGTGACGCAGAGGATGCCCATTCCTACTTGGAAGTGGGAGAGGATTGCTATGGACTTCGTAGTTGGATTGCCTACCACCGTGGGTGGTTATGATTCTATATGGGTGGTCGTCGACAGACTGACCAAGTCTGCTCATTTCATCCCGGTCCGAGTGAGGTATACAGCGGAGAAGTTGGCTCAGATTTATATTAGTCAGATTGTGCGGTTACACGGAGTGCCGGTGTCCATTGTGTCTGACAGGGGTTCAGTATTCACTTCTCATTTCTGGAGAGCATTACAGCATGATTTGGGCACTAGACTCGACATGAGCACAGCTTTTCACCCTCAGACTGAAGGTCAGTCTGAGAGGACTATTCAAGTGTTGGAGGACATGCTTCGGGCTTGCGTGATCGACTTTGGTACTAGATGGGATCAACACTTGCCATTGGCAGAGTTCGCCTACAACAACAGTTATCATTCTAGCATTGGGATGGCACCTTTTGAGGCACTGTATGGTAGGCGATGTAGATCACCTATTGGATGGTTTGATTCAGCGGAGATGGACTCCCTTGGTACTGATATTCTTAGAGAGGATATGGAGCGTGTTCGTGTGATTCAGAGTAGGCTCTTGACTGCCCAGAGTAGGCAGAAGAGTTATGCTGACAGGAGGGTTCGACCCTTAGAGTTCATGGTGGGTGATCGAGTTTGGCTTCGAGTATCGCCCATGAAGGGTGTGATGAGATTTGGGAAGAAAGGCAAGCTCAGCCCTAGGTTCATTGGCCCATATGAGATTTTGGAGAGGATGGGAGAGGTGGCTTACAAGTTAGCTTTGCCACCTAGTTTGACAGCCGTGCATCCAGTTTTCCATGTTTCTATGCTCCGGAAGTATGTTCCGGATGAGTCTCACGTGATTTCGGTTGAGTCGGTGGAGTTGAGTCCAGATTTGACATTTGAGGAAGAGCCTATAGCTATTTTGGACAGGCAGGTTCGCAAGCTCCGGACCAAGGACATCGTTTCAGTGAAGGTTCAGTGGAGGCATCGATCAGATAGGGAAGCGACTTGGGAGTCCGAGGATGATATGCGGGTTCGATATCCCCAGCTTTTCGAGGCTTCAGGTACTTTCTTTTACTTTATGTTCGAGGACGAACATGGTTTTTAGTGGTGAATGATGTAATGACCCGAAAGGTCATTTTGGTAATTTTTCGTGGAAATGACTATTTTGCCCTTTCGGTAGTTGCCCCGAGTCCCATGTTTTGTGGTTGTAAAGTTGGTTTGAGGAAAAGTTGGTAAAAAGTTGAGTTTTTGAGAAGTTGAGTTTTTATGAGTTAAAGTTGGTTAAAAAGTGCTTTTTCGAGTCATTTGGAGTTTCGGGACTCGGATCGGATTTCCGTCGATTCCGACAGTTTTAGAATGTCGAAACGGGTCTGTGTGAAGTTACGGAGTCGAATTTGGAGTTGAAACGAAGAATTGAGGTCCTAAGTTGCTAAAGTTGTGAAATTTTGATAAAGAGTTGACTTTGGTCAACATATGAGGTTCCGAGGCTCAGATTGAAATTCCAAGAGTACCGTTGGTTTCGGGAGGCGATTCTAAGTCTAGAATGAGTCTTGGTTGAATTTTTAGACGCTCCGTTTGAGTTTCGAATTTTTTTGGCGTTAAACTAGTTTCTTAGCATCTTATTAAATTTCGGGTCAAGGAGTTCTCGAATTCAAATTCCGACGGTTCCATTGAGTCCGGAACGTCGAATTTAGTGGGGGTACATATTTAGTTTGTGTGCACGAGATTCCGAACGAATCCCGAGGGTCCAACGGGGACTTAAACTTTGGTTTTAAAATTGTGTGCAGCTGCTGTGTATTTTAGCTGCAACAGCAGTTTCTTCCCCTTTTTTTAAAAGCCAAAAACAGTAGTCATTTTCCCCCAACTTGAAAAATACCCATTTCTCCATTTTTAGACTTTGAGAGCTCAAAAATAGGTGATTTCAAGTGGGTTTTCGCAAGGAATTCATTAGGTAAGTTATTTCCAACTTATATCTTTGATTTCCATCGATTATTTATGGATTTTAACATCAAAATTTGAGATCTCAACTCAAAAATTTGGGGGTTTTTGCCTAATCCGAATTTAATAGAAAATTTGAGTTTGTGAACTCATTTCAACTCCTTTTTCGAAACGGTTTTCACTATTGGATTCTAAATTTCTTGGGGAACATTTTTCACTAAAAATTTCCAGATTTCGAGAATATTTTTCAGAACGAGATTTTTTTGACCATTTTACCCTTTTCTCCAAATTTCACAATATTGGTGTTGTTAGATTCGTATTGATTGTGAGATTCCATTTATGAATAGATTGTGGTGATTTGGAGCGTGCTCGGAAGGGTAAAACTCAAATTTGAGTTACTAGTTGAAGTGTTTTGAGGCATGTGGCTTCTAAACTTTGTTAAACTCTTAGACTACACATGACTACTTTCCTAATTGTGTTGGGGAGTAATGGGGATTGAGGATGAGTTTTATTTGTTGATTGAAATTGTTGTAATTGAAAGATGGGGAATAAAACGAGCTAAATGTGTTATATGTGACTTGAATTTGTTGAATAAGTCATGTGATAACTGATATTGAGGGGATAGAAGAGCATGAGTAGGCTATGATTGATACAGACGATGTGTAATACTATGATGTGGTTGTGATTGAGACAGATGATGTGTAATACTATGATGTGATCGTGATATGGTTGTGATTGAGACAGATAATGTGTAATACTATGATGTGATCGTGATATGATTGTGATTGATGACATGTGCATATTCATTATTCATCCCAAGTATGAACTATCTGTTGCATGAGTTCTGAGACACTGATATGAGGACGGATGGATATGAGACACAGTCGAGACTAGCTCCGGCTAGCGATTTGGATGCCGATGGGATCTGGTTCCGGCGGTGATACATGGTCCATGTGTGGCCCCCATGGGTTCTGATTTGAGTATTCAGCGCGGTCTGATTACGTCAACAGATGTGTATCTTAGGACAGACATGCATCACGACTACATGACATCATTATTGCATTTGCATCGCATTTGACTTCATCTTTGTCTGTGGTGTGTGGATTTTTCCTATTTGCCCCTCTTCATGTGATATATGATCTATTTGCTCTTACATGAGGATATGAGATTGATGTTGAGACACTGTTAGATATATCTGTTGATTATGAATTGTGTAGTATAGGTTGTTGGTTCGCTGTTAGAATGAAGTTCGGTGGTTCGGTTGGGATTGAAAGGAGTTGTTTGTAGCTGCTAGTTTAGCTTAGCTTAGTGTTACTTGCGAGTACCTGTTGCTTTTGGTACTCACCCTTGCCTCTACACAATTGTGTAGGTTGACAGCTCTATCAGATCCGACTTATTACTCATCTTCAGATTAGAGCTTCCAGACTTACTTGAGAGGTAGCGGTTCATTCCAGACGTGCCCTCAAGTTATCTATATTTATTGTTCTGTTCTATTCTAGAACTTTACTATGAGACTTGTATATTTTATTCAGATTCTGTATTAGAGGTTTGTACATGTGACAACCAATTCTGGGGTTATGTTGAGTTTATTTAAAGACTTCCGCTTATCTTTCTATCTTATTCTTGTTTTATAAAATCTATATCGTCGGGTTTTTGGGTGTTAGGCTGACGTGTCCGGTGGGGTTTGGGCACGTGCCATCACATCTGGTTTTGGGGTGTGACAAAAATGGTATCAAAGCCCAGGTTCGAAGGTCTCACATGTACAAACCAAGTCTTAGTAGTGTCTTGAGGATCGGTACGGAGACGTCTGTACTTATCTTCGAGAGGCTATGAAGACTGTTAGGAAAGACTTCTTTTTTTTATTCCGTTCTTATCGTGCGAGGTTGTTATCGTGGGTGCTGAGTATCGCGTGTTGTTTTTGGCAGATGCCGAGGGTTAGAGCTACCAGAGTTAGGGGGGAGGCAGCCCCCGAGGTCAGAGTTGAGGCCCCAGCTAGGGGTAGAGGTCGGGCTAGAGGCCGAGGACGTGGTCGAGGCCGTGCCAGAGGAGCGGCACCTGCCCGAGGCCGAGGTAGAGAGCCTTCACCTGAGCCACAGATTGGAGTAGCTGCAGAGCAGGCTCCTGCGGGCCATGCACCCCCAGTTCATGATGATAGACTCGACAGGATGTTGGGGTTATTGGAGCGTCTTGCTCAGGGTGCAGCAGGTATACCAGCGGGGTTACAGACTGGGGTAGGGGCACAGGCCCCTGGTTATCAGCATCAGATTCCAGTGGTTCCAGAGCCAGTGGTTCAGCCACCACGGATTCCAGTCATTCCCGAGCCGGTGGTTCAGCCACCACAGGTTCCAGCTCCAGTTGTAGGTGTACCGGCGGCCCTTGAGGTGGCCTTGGCAGATGATGACCAGGTCTGCTATGAGCGGTTTCAGAAAATGAAACCACCTCAGTTTCATGGTGCTAAGACTGATGATGCTCACGAGTTTTTGACCTTGAGTCGAGAGATGTTGGCGGCGGTACGCATGTTAGATGAGAGGGGTGTCCGATTTGTGTCCCTTCAGTTACGCGGTGTCGCTAGGGAGTGGCTGAGGACCTTCATGAGTTCGAGACCAGCGGGATCTCCTCCCATGGAGTGGAGTGAGTTTGCTAGTGCTTTCGAGGGTCGTTTCATCCCTTGGAGTGTACAGGAGGAGAGCCGTATGAGGTTTGAGAGTTTGGTGCAGGGTAGCATGTCAGTTGCAGATTACGAGGCTCGATTCTGTCAGTTGTCGAGACATGCTTCTTTTTTGATTTCAGGTGAGCCTGAGCGGATTCGCAGATTTGTCAGGGGTTTGACTCCCACTATCCGTAGTTATGTGTTTAGATCATCTCGTGAGGGTGCTTCCTTCCAGACTATAGTGAGTGCAGCCAGAGAGGCTGAGTTGCTTGAGCGAGATGATTTTGGTGGGCCCAAGAGGGTCCGTACAGGTGGTCAGTATTCGGGTACCTCGTCAGGAGGTAGGGGTCCACACAGGGGAGGCGGGTCCTTCCTGCGTCAGAGGCCAGTACATGCTTCATTACCAGCTATCGAGGGTGGGCCAGCAGCTCGGGGTCCTCCAGGTTCAGGTCGAGGTGGTTATAGCATTATTTCGGGTTCTTCACAGTCAGGATCCACACCGAGGTCTTGTTATGGTTGCGGTGATCCAGGCCATTTGATTCGTCAGTGTCTACATCAGACTCAGTCTGGACCACACCGTACTTTCTCCGCGGTCCCAGAGAGAGATTCAGCACCTCCGGCTAGAGGTCGGGGTCGGGGACCGGCATCTGGTAGAGGCGGACGAGCTTCGGGTAGAGGTGCTAGTGGCGCCTCAGGTTCACAGAGTGGGGGCAGAGGTGCCCAGTGTTATGCTTTTCCTGGGAGGCCCGAGGCTGAGGCTTCTGATGCAGTTATCACAGGTATCGTCTCAGTTTGTCATCGGCCTGCTTCCGTGTTATTTGATCATGGTTCTACATTCTCATATGTGTCTACATATTTTGCTTCCGGCCTTGAGTTGACTTGTGATCGTATGTCTGTGCCTATTAGAGTCTCTACACCCGTAGGTGAACCCTTAGTGGTGAATCGAGTGTATCGATCTTGTCTTGTTGTCTTATCGGGGTATGAGACTTGGGTAGATATGATTCTTCTTGATATGTTAGACTTTGATGTCATATTGGGTATGGACTGGCTTTCCCCCTATCATGCGCTTCTTGATTGTTATGCTAAGACTGTCACCTTAGCTATTCCGGGTATTCCTAGAGTGGAGTGGAGAGGGACTAGTGGTTCGTATCCCAACAGGGTCATATCTCATATTCGGGCTCAGAGGATGATTGACCGGGGTTGTTTATCTTATTTGGCCTTTATTCGGGATGTTGGAGCTGAGTCACCGGCCATGGAGTCTATTCCGGTGGTTCAGGAGTTCCCTGATGTGTTTCCCGAGGATCTACCTGGTGTTCCTCCTGTTCGTGATATTGACTTCTCTATCGACTTGGAGCCGGGCACTAAGCCCATATCTATCCCACCTTATCGTATGGCTCCAGCTGAGTTGAAGGAGTTGAAGGATCAGATTCAGGACTTATTGAGTAAAGGATTCATACGCCCTAGTGTGTCGCCTTGGGGTGCACCGGTCTTATTTGTGAAGAAGAAAGATGGGTCGATGAGGATGTGTATTGACTATAGACAGTTGAACAAGGTAACGGTAAAGAACAAGTATCCCCTTCCCCGTATTGATGACTTGTTTGATCAGCTTCAGGGGGCAGCCTTGTTCTCTAAGATCGACTTGAGATCTGGGTATCATCAGTTGAGGATTAAGCCTTCAGATGTGGCGAAGACAGCTTTTCGCACACGATATGGTCATTATGAGTTTTTGGTGATGTCATTTGGGCTCACCAATGCCCCTGCGACGTTCATGGAGTTGATGAATGGAGTGTTTCGCCCATACTTGGATTCTTTCGTAATTGTGTTTATTGATGACATCTTGGTATATTCCAAGACCGAGGCGGATCATGTTTGTCATTTGAGGGCCGTGCTACAGAAGTTGAGAGATGAGAAATTGTATGCTAAATTGTCTAAGTGTGAGTTTTGGTTTGAGTCAGTGGCTTTCCTAGGGCACGTGGTGTCTAAGGATGGAGTTAGGGTTGATCCGGCCAAGATTGAGGCGGTTCAGGGTTGGACTAGACCTACATCACCTACCGAGATTCGGAGTTTTGTTGGCTTGGCGGGTTACTATCGGCGTTTTGTTCAGGGATTCTCTACTATAGCTGCACCGTTGACCCGATTGACTCAGCAGACGGTTCCTTTTCATTGGTCACCCGAGTGTGAGGCGAGCTTTCAAAGGCTCAAATCCCTATTGACTTCAGCACCTGTCTTGACTTTGCCAGAGGAGGGTGTTGGATTTACTGTTTATTGTGACGCTTCGGGTGTTGGACTTGGAGGTGTTTTGATGCAGAAGGGTAAGGTTGTAGCATATGCCTCTAGACAGCTGAAGGCACACGAGAGGAATTACCCAACTCATGATTTGGAGTTGGCGGCTGTGGTATTTGTGCTTAAGTTGTGGAGACATTACCTATATGGTGTTCATTGCGAGGTATTTACTGATCATAGGAGCCTACAGTACATATTCACTCAGCGGGATCTGAACTTGAGACAGCGTAGGTGGCTTGAGTTGCTCAAGGACTACGACATGACCATTTTGTATCACCCCGGGAAGGCCAATGTGGTGGCCGATGCCTTGAGTAGGAAGACTCCTAGTATGGGGAGTCTTGCCGCGATCAGTGTTGAGAGGCGGCCTTTGGTTCGGGATGTTCAGAGGTTATTTGACAGTATGGTGAGATTTCGGGTTTCTGAGGAGAGTGGAGGTGTGTTTGCCTTCATTGAAGCCCGTTCATCTTTGATGGAGCAGATTAGAGAGCATCAGTATGAGGATGGGAAGTTATGTCTCATCCGGGACAAGGTGATGAGTGGTGAAGCCAAGAAGGCTAAGATTGACTCCGAGGGTGTATTGAGGATTGAGGGCCGGATATGTGTGCCCAAGGTTGGTGATTTGATCAGATTGATTCTTGAGGAGGCTCATTATTCTAGGTATTCTATTCATCCCGGAGCGGCGAAGATGTATCATGATCTTAGTCAACACTATTGGTGGTGTGGGATGAAGAGGGATATTGCAGAGTTTGTGGCTAGGTGCTTGACATGTCAGCAGGTCAAGTGTGAGCACCAGAAGCCTGGTGGTGTGACGCAGAGGATGCCCATTCCTACTTGGAAGTGGGAGAGGATTGCTATGGACTTCGTAGTTGGATTGCCTACCACCGTGGGTGGTTATGATTCTATATGGGTGGTCGTCGACAGACTGACCAAGTCTGCTCATTTCATCCCGGTCCGAGTGAGGTATACAGCGGAGAAGTTGGCTCAGATTTATATTAGTCAGATTGTGCGGTTACACGGAGTGCCGGTGTCCATTGTGTCTGACAGGGGTTCAGTATTCACTTCTCATTTCTGGAGAGCATTACAGCATGATTTGGGCACTAGACTCGACATGAGCACAGCTTTTCACCTCAGACTGACGGTCAGTCTGAGAGGACTATTCAAGTGTTGGAGGACATGCTTCGGGCTTGCGTGATCGACTTTGGTACTAGATGGGATCAACACTTGCCATTGGCAGAGTTCGCCTACAACAACAGTTATCATTCTAGCATTGGGATGGCACCTTTTGAGGCACTGTATGGTAGGCGATGTAGATCACCTATTGGATGGTTTGATTCAGCGGAGATGGACTCCCTTGGTACTGATATTCTTAGAGAGGATATGGAGCGTGTTCGTGTGATTCAGAGTAGGCTCTTGACTGCCCAGAGTAGGCAGAAGAGTTATGCTGACAGGAGGGTTCGACCCTTAGAGTTCATGGTGGGTGATCGAGTTTGGCTTCGAGTATCGCCCATGAAGGGTGTGATGAGATTTGGGAAGAAAGGCAAGCTCAGCCCTAGGTTCATTGGCCCATATGAGATTTTGGAGAGGATGGGAGAGGTGGCTTACAAGTTAGCTTTGCCACCTAGTTTGACAGCCGTGCATCCAGTTTTCCATGTTTCTATGCTCCGGAAGTATGTTCCGGATGAGTCTCACGTGATTTCGGTTGAGTCGGTGGAGTTGAGTCCAGATTTGACATTTGAGGAAGAGCCTATAGCTATTTTGGACAGGCAGGTTCGCAAGCTCCGGACCAAGGACATCGTTTCAGTGAAGGTTCAGTGGAGGCATCGATCAGATAGGGAAGCGACTTGGGAGTCCGAGGATGATATGCGGGTTCGATATCCCCAGCTTTTCGAGGCTTCAGGTACTTTCTTTTACTTTATGTTCGAGGACGAACATGGTTTTTAGTGGTGAATGATGTAATGACCCGAAAGGTCATTTTGGTAATTTTTCGTGGAAATGACTATTTTGCCCTTTCGGTAGTTGCCCCCGAGTCCATGTTTTGTGGTTGTAAAGTTGGTTTGAGGAAAAGTTGGTAAAAAGTTGAGTTTTTGAGAAGTTGAGTTTTTATGAGTTAAAGTTGGTTAAAAAGTGCTTTTTTCGAGTCATTTGGAGTTTCGGGACTCGGATCGGATTTCCGTCGATTCCGACAGTTTTAGAATGTCGAAACGGGTCTGTGTGAAGTTACGGAGTCGAATTTGGAGTTGAAACGAAGAATTGAGGTCCTAAGTTGCTAAAGTTGTGAAATTTTGATAAAGAGTTGACTTTGGTCAACATATGAGGTTCCGAGGCTCAGATTGAAATTCCAAGAGTACCGTTGGTTTCGGGAGGCGATTCTAAGTCTAGAATGAGTCTTGGTTGAATTTTTAGACGCTCCGTTTGAGTTTCGAATTTTTTTGGCGTTAAACTAGTTTCTTAGCATCTTATTAATTTCGGGTCAAGGAGTTCTCGAATTCAAATTCCGACGGTTCCATTGAGTCCGGAACGTCGAATTTAGTGGGGGTACATATTTAGTTTGTGTGCACGAGATTCCGAACGAATCCCGAGGGTTCCAACGGGGACTTAAACTTTGGTTTTAAAATTGTGTGCAGCTGCTGTGTATTTTAGCTGCAACAGCAGTTTCTTCCCCTTTTTTTAAAAGCCAAAAACAGTAGTCATTTTCCCCCAACTTGAAAAAATACCCATTTCTCCATTTTTAGACTTTGAGAGCTCAAAAATAGGTGATTTCAAGTGGGTTTTCGCAAGGAATTCATTAGGTAAGTTATTTCCAACTTATATCTTTGATTTCCATCGATTATTTATGGATTTTAACATCAAAAATTTGAGATCTCAACTCAAAAATTTGGGGGGTTTTTGCCTAATCCGAATTTAATAGAAAATTTGAGTTTGTGAACTCATTTCAACTCCTTTTTCGAAACGGTTTTCACTATTGGATTCTAAATTTCTTGGGGAACATTTTTCACTAAAAATTTCCAGATTTCGAGAATATTTTTCAGAACGAGATTTTTTTGACCATTTTACCCTTTTCTCCAAATTTCACAATATTGGTGTTGTTAGATTCGTATTGATTGTGAGATTCCATTTATGAATAGATTGTGGTGATTTGGAGCGTGCTCGGAAGGGTAAAACTCAAATTTGAGTTACTAGTTGAAGTGTTTTGAGGCATGTGGCTTCTAAACTTTGTTAAACTCTTAGACTACACATGACTACTTTCCTAATTGTGTTGGGGAGTAATGGGGATTGAGGATGAGTTTTATTTGTTGATTGAAATTGTTGTAATTGAAAGATGGGGAATAAAACGAGCTAAATGTGTTATATGTGACTTGAATTTGTTGAATAAGTCATGTGATAACTGATATTGAGGGGATAGAAGAGCATGAGTAGGCTATGATTGATACAGACGATGTGTAATACTATGATGTGGTTGTGATTGAGACAGATGATGTGTAATACTATGATGTGATCGTGATATGGTTGTGATTGAGACAGATAATGTGTAATACTATGATGTGATCGTGATATGATTGTGATTGATGACATGTGCATATTCATTATTCATCCCAAGTATGAACTATCTGTTGCATGAGTTCTGAGACACTGATATGAGGACGGATGGATATGAGACACAGTCGAGACTAGCTCCGGCTAGCGATTTGGATGCCGATGGGATCTGGTTCCGGCGGTGATACATGGTCCATGTGTGGCCCCCATGGGTTCTGATTTGAGTATTCAGCGCGGTCTGATTACGTCAACAGATGTGTATCTTAGGACAGACATGCATCACGACTACATGACATCATTATTGCATTTGCATCGCATTTGACTTCATCTTTGTCTGTGGTGTGTGGATTTTTCCTATTTGCCCCTCTTCATGTGATATATGATCTATTTGCTCTTACATGAGGATATGAGATTGATGTTGAGACACTGTTAGATATATCTGTTGATTATGAATTGTGTAGTATAGGTTGTTGGTTCGCTGTTAGAATGAAGTTTCGGTGGTTCGGTTGGGATTGAAAGGAGTTGTTTGTAGCTGCTAGTTTAGCTTAGCTTAGTGTTACTTGCGAGTACCTGTTGCTTTTGGTACTCACCCTTGCCTCTACACAATTGTGTAGGTTGACAGCTCTATCAGATCCGACTTATTACTCCATCTTCAGATTAGAGCTTCCAGACTTACTTGAGAGGTAGCGGTTCATTCCAGACGTGCCCTCAAGTTATCTATATTTATTGGTTCTGTTCTATTCTAGAACTTTACTATGAGACTTGTATATTTTATTCAGATTCTGTATTAGAGGTTTGTACATGTGAAACCAATTCTGGGGTTATGTTGAGTTTATTTAAAGACTTCCGCTTATCTTTCTATCTTATTCTTGTTTTATAAAATCTATATCGTCGGGTTTTTGGGTGTTAGGCTGACGTGTCCGGTGGGGTTTGGGCACGTGCCATCACATCTGGTTTTGGGGTGTGACAAAAATGGTATCAAAGCCCAGGTTCGAAGGTCTCACATGTACAAACCAAGTCTTAGTAGTGTCTTGAGGATCGGTACGGAGACGTCTGTACTTATCTTCGGAGGCTATGAAGACTGTTAGGAAAGACTTCTTTTTTTTATTCCGTTCTTATCGTGCGAGGTTGTTATCGTGGGTGCTGAGTATCGCGTGTTGTTTTTTGGCAGATGCCGAGGGTTTAGAGCTACCAGAGTTAGGGGGGAGGCAGCCCCCGAGGTCAGAGTTGAGGCCCCAGCTAGGGGTAGAGGTCGGGCTAGAGGCCGAGGACGTGGTCGAGGCCGTGCCAGAGGAGCGGCACCTGCCCGAGGCCGAGGTAGAGAGCCTTCACCTGAGCCACAGATTGGAGTAGCTGCAGAGCAGGCTCCTGCGGGCCATGCACCCCCAGTTCATGATGATAGACTCGACAGATGTTGGGGTTATTGGAGCGTCTTGCTCAGGGTGCAGCAGGTATACCAGCGGGGGTTACAGACTGGGTAGGGGCACAGGCCCCTGGTTATCAGCATCAGATTCCAGTGGTTCCAGAGCCAGTGGTTCAGCCACCACGGATTCCAGTCATTCCCGAGCCGGTGGTTCAGCCACCACAGGTTCCAACTCCAGTTGTAGGTGTACCGGCGGCCCTTGAGGTGGCCTTGGCAGATGATGACCAGGTCTGCTATGAGCGGTTTCAGAAAATGAAACCACCTCAGTTTCATGGTGCTAAGACTGATGATGCTCACGAGTTTTTGACCTTGAGTCGAGAGATGTTGGCGGCGGTACGCATGTTAGATGAGAGGGGTGTCCGATTTGTGTCCCTTCAGTTACGCGGTGTCGCTAGGGAGTGGCTGAGGACCTTCATGAGTTCGAGACCAGCGGGATCTCCTCCCATGGAGTGGAGTGAGTTTGCTAGTGCTTTCGAGGGTCGTTTCATCCCTTGGAGTGTACAGGAGGAGAGCCGTATGAGGTTTGAGAGTTTGGTGCAGGGTAGCATGTCAGTTGCAGATTACGAGGCTCGATTCTGTCAGTTGTCGAGACATGCTTCTGCTTTGATTTCAGGTGAGCCTGAGCGGATTCGCAGATTTGTCAGGGGTTTGACTCCCACTATCCGTAGTTATGTGTTTAGATCATCTCGTGAGGGTGCTTCCTTCCAGACTATAGTGAGTGCAGCCAGAGAGGCTGAGTTGCTTGAGCGAGATGATTTTGGTGGGCCCAAGAGGGTCCCGTACAGGTGGTCAGTATTCGGGTACCTCGTCAGGAGGTAGGGGTCCACACAGGGGAGGCGGGTCCTTCCTGCGTCAGAGGCCAGTACATGCTTCATTACCAGCTATCGAGGGTGGGCCAGCAGCTCGGGGTCCTCCAGGTTCAGGTCGAGGTGGTTATAGCATTATTTCGGGTTCTTCACAGTCAGGATCCACACCGAGGTCTTGTTATGGTTGCGGTGATCCAGGCCATTTGATTCGTCAGTGTCTACATCAGACTCAGTCTGGACCACACCGTACTTTCTCCCGGCGGTCCCCAGAGAGAGATTCAGCACCTCCGGCTAGAGGTCGGGGTCGGGGACCGGCATCTGGTAGAGGCGGACGAGCTTCGGGTAGAGGTGCTAGTGGCGCCTCAGGTTCACAGAGTGGGGGCAGAGGTGCCCAGTGTTATGCTTTTCCTGGGAGGCCCGAGGCTGAGGCTTCTGATGCAGTTATCACAGGTATCGTCTCAGTTTGTCATCGGCCTGCTTCCGTGTTATTTGATCCTGGTTCTACATTCTCATATGTGTCTACATATTTTGCTTCCGGCCTTGAGTTGACTTGTGATCGTATGTCTGTGCCTATTAGAGTCTCTACACCCGTAGGTGAAACCCTTAGTGGTGAATCGAGTGTATCGATCTTGTCTTGTTGTCTTATCGGGGTATGAGACTTGGGTAGATATGATTCTTCTTGATATGTTAGACTTTGATGTCATATTGGGTATGGACTGGCTTTCCCCCTATCATGCGCTTCTTGATTGTTATGCTAAGACTGTCACCTTAGCTATTCCGGGTATTCCTAGAGTGGAGTGGAGAGGGACTAGTGGTTCGTATCCCAACAGGGTCATATCTCATATTCGGGCTCAGAGGATGATTGACCGGGGTTGTTTATCTTATTTGGCCTTTATTCGGGATGTTGGAGCTGAGTCACCGGCCATGGAGTCTATTTCGGTGGTTCAGGAGTTCCCTGATGTGTTTCCCGAGATCTACCTGGTGTTCCTCCTGTTCGTGATATTGACTTCTCTATCGACGTGGAGCCGGGCACTAAGCCCATATCTATCCCACCTTATCGTATGGCTCCAGCTGAGTTGAAGGAGTTGAAGGATCAGATTCAGGACTTATTGAGTAAAAGATTCATACGCCCTAGTGTGTCGCCTTGGGGTGCACCGGTCTTATTTGTGGAAGAAGAAGATGGGTCGATGAGGGATGTGTATTGACTATAGACAGTTGAACAAGGTAACGGTAAAGAACAAATATCCCCTTCCCCGTATTGATGACTTGTTTGATCAGCTTCAGGGGGCAGCCTTGTTCTCTAAGATCGACTTGAGATCTGGGTATCATCAGTTGAGGATTAAGCCTTCAGATGTGGCCGAAGACAGCTTTTCGCACACGATATGGTCATTATGAGTTTTTGGTGATGTCATTTGGGCTCACCAATGCCCCTGCGACGTTCATGGAGTTGATGAATGGAGTGTTTCGCCCATACTTGGATTCTTTCGTAATTGTGTTTATGATGACATCTTGGTATATTCCAAGACCGAGGCGGATCATGTTTGTCATTTGAGGGCCGTGCTACAGAAGTTGAGAGATGAGAAATTGTATGCTAAATTGTCTAAGTGTGAGTTTTGGCTTGAGTCAGTGGCTTTCCTAGGGCACGTGGTGTCTAAGGATGGAGTTAGGGTTGATCCGGCCAAGATTGAGGCGGTTCAGGGTTGGACTAGACCTACATCACCTACCGAGATTCGGAGTTTTGTTGGCTTGGCGGTTACTATCGGCGTTTTGTTCAGGGATTCTCTACTATAGCTGCACCGTTGACCCGATTGACTCAGCAGACGGTTCCTTTTCATTGGTCACCCGAGTGTGAGGCGAGCTTTCAAAGGCTCAAATCCCTATTGACTTCAGCACCTGTCTTGACTTTGCCAGAGGAGGGTGTTGGATTTACTGTTTATTGTGACGCTTCGGGTGTTGGACTTGGAGGTGTTTTGATGCAGAAGGGTAAGGTTGTAGCATATGCCTCTAGACAGCTGAAGGCACACGAGAGGAATTACCCAACTCATGATTTGGAGTTGGCGGCTGTGGTATTTGTGCTTAAGTTGTGGAGACATTACCTATATGGTGTTCATTGCGAGGTATTTACTGATCATAGGAGCCTACAGTACATATTCACTCAGCGGGATCTGAACTTGAGACAGCGTAGGTGGCTTGAGTTGCTCAAGGACTACGACATGACCATTTTGTATCACCCCGGGAAGGCCAATGTGGTGGCGATGCCTTGAGTAGGAAGACTCATAGTATGGGGAGTCTTGCCGCGATCAGTGTTGAGAGGCGGCCTTTGGTTCGGGATGTTCAGAGGTTATTTGACAGTATGGTGAGATTTCGGGTTTCTGAGAAGAGTGGAGGTGTGTTTGCCTTCATTGAAGCCCGTTCATCTTTGATGGAGCAGATTAGAGAGCATCAGTATGAGGATGGGAAGTTATGTCTCATCCGGGACAAGGTGATGAGTGGTGAAGCCAAGAAGGCTAAGATTGACTCCGAGGGTGTTATTGAGGATTGAGGGCCGGATATGTGTGCCCAAGGTTGGTGATTTGATCAGATTGATTCTTGAGGAGGCTCATTATTCTAGGTATTCTATTCATCCCGGAGCGGCGAAGATGTATCATGATCTTAGTCAACACTATTGGTGGTGTGGGATGAAGAGGGATATTGCAGAGGTTTGTGGCTAGGGTGCTTGACATGTCAGCAGGTCAAGTGTGAGCACCAGAAGCCTGGTGGTGGTGACGCAGAGGATGCCCCACTTCCTACTTGGAAGTGGGAGAGGATTTGCTATGGACTTCGTAGTTGGATTGCCTACCACCGTGGGTGGTTATGATTCTATATGGGTGGTCGTCAACAGACTGACCAAGTCTGCTCATTTCATCCCGGTCCCGAGTGAGGTATACAGCGGAGAAGTTGGCTCAGATTTATATTAGTCAGATTGGTGCGTTTACACGGAGTGCCGGTGTCCATTGTGTCTGACAGGGGTTCAGTATTCACTTCTCATTTCTGGAGAGCATTACAGCATGATTTGGGCACTAGACTCGACATGAGCACAGCTTTTCACCCTCAGACTGACGGTCAGTCTGAGAGGACTATTCAGGTGTTGGAGGACATGCTTCGGGCTTGCGTGATCGACTTTGGTACTAGATGGGATCAACACTTGCCATTGACAGAGTTCGCCTACAACAACAGTTATCATTCTAGCATTGGGATGGCACCTTTTGAGGCACTGTATGGTAGGCGGTGTAGATCACCTATTGGATGGTTTGATTCAGCGGAGGTGGACTCCCTTGGTACTGATATTCTTAGAGAGGATATGGAGCGTGTTCGTGTGATTCAGAGTAGGCTCTTGATTGCCAGAGTAGGCAGAAGAGCTATGCTGACAGGAGGGTTCGACCCTTAGAGTTCATGGTGGGTGATCGAGTTTGGCTTCGGGTATCGCCCATGAAGGGTGTGATGAGATTTGGGAAGAAGGGCAAGCTCAGCCCTAGGTTCATTGGCCCATATGAGATTTTGGAGAGGATGGGAGAGGTGGCTTACAAGTTAGCCTTGCCACCTAGTTTGACAGCCGTGCATCCAGTTTTCCATGTTTCTATGCTCCGAAGTATGTTCCGGATGAGTCTCACGTGATTTCGGTTGAGTCGGTGGAGTTGAGTCCAGATTTGACATTTGAGGAGGAGCCTATAGCTATTTTGGACAGGCAGGTTCGCAAGCTCCGGACCAAGGACATCGTTTCAGTGAAGGTTCAGTGGAGGCATCGATCAGATAGGGAAGCGACTTGGGAGTCCGAGGATGATATGCGGGTTCGATATCCCCAGCTTTTCGAGGCTTCAGGTACTTTCTTTTACTTTATGTTCGAGGACGAACATGGTTTTTAGTGGTGAATGATGTAATGACCCGAAAGGTCATTTTGGTAATTTTTCGTGGAAATGACTATTTTGCCCTTTCGGTAGTTGCCCCGAGTCCCATGTTTTGTGGTTGTAAAGTTGGTTTGAGGAAAAGTTGGTAAAAAGTTGAGTTTTTGAGAAGTTGAGTTTTTATGAGTTAAAGTTGGTTAAAAAAGTGCTTTTTCGAGTCATTTGGAGTTTCGGGACTCGGAT